GGGGGGGGGGGGGGGGGGGGGGGGGGGGGGGGGGGGGGGGGGGGCTGGGATGGAGGGGATGGGTAGGGGCACGGAAGTTTTCGTTGTGTGTGTGTGTTTGTATTTATTTACAGCATCGACCGCGCTAACCGGCTGACCAATGAAAAGACTTCAGTGTGTGTGTGTGTGTTTCGCGTGCACCTTGCTTGAGGAACACGCTCGACGCCTTTGTTTTGCGTTCTCCTCCCGTTGCTGCCACCTCCTTCTGCACGCGCCAAGGAATTTTGCGCACCGAACCGGGCGGGGCTGAAGGTACCCCGCCCGTGTGCACGATCTCGATGGGCTCCGTCCTTTGCGTAGATACCCCCTTTTTGTCCTTGGTGCCTGGTTCATTTTTTGTTCAGGTGTTGTGCCGTCCCTCTCTCCCCCCCCCTCCCGTCGGTTTGGCGGTTCCCCGCCCCTCTCTCTCGCCCCGTCTCAGAAGCTTACGGGCGAGGTGTCTACGATCGACGAAGTGGACATGTCCGACGGAGCGAGCGACGACGAGGACATGAAGGATGACATCGGCGACGCCGACAGCAGCGGTGCCGCGGCCGAACCCGCCGCCGCCGCCGCCGCCGCCGCCGCCATTGCTTCCAACACCAAGCCGGAAAAGGAGACGGTCTCCTCACCAGGCGACGAGGGCGTGAACGGTGGCAGCGGCGGGACCGTTGCGACCGCTAGCGGCGGCGGCGACGGCGGCGGCGGCGACTCGCTGAAGGACCGGGGGTGGGTGGCGTCGGTGTCGTGGTTTTTGTGGCCGCGCCTAAAGTCTTGCTTGTGCTTGCAATGTGGAGAAGGTCGGCTCTGAATCGGTTGTTGTCGCTGTCATTGTCGCGGTACTGGATTTGCTGGGCTTCTCGTCGCAGCTTCCCCCGAAGTAATGAACCATTATCTGGGATCGTCTTCCCCTCCCTGTATCGAGCCTTTGGGTTTACCGGCCGCCGCAATTCAAGCTGCGTTCCCATATCTCCCTCCATCTGTTTTTGTCTGTTTCTGTCTCTCTCTCCACCTCTCCTCCCCTCTTTGTCTGTCTTTCTCTGTCTCTGTCTGTCTCTCATTCTCTCTCAGACAACAACGAGCATCAACATCGAGATCGACCGGCGGCAGCAGCACCACCACCACCAAGGGTAGCTCAGAAAAGTTGGCAGCAACAGCAAGGAGGTGGGACGAAGACAGCGACAGCGACAGCGACGGCGACGGTACAGGAGGAGGAGCGTTCTCCGAATTTTTCTCGGATGGCCCCCCGCAGAAGGCCAGCATCCAGAAGAAGAGCGGCGTCAGCGGCGCCACCAGCAATAGAGCCGGCGGCAACAGCGGCGGCGGCGGCGGCGGCGGAGTCAGTGGCAGTGGTATTGGTAAACGTAGTTTCGGTAAGGCAAGGGGGGGCGCCGTGAAGCGGAGGAAAAAGACGGAACACAGCTCGCCGCAGCACGCTCTATCGGTGGGTGCAAGGACGCTTAAAGGGGGTGGAGGGTGGGGGTTCTGGCGTTTAAGGAGTGTTTTGCCGGGAGGCGCGCGCTTTCGCGTTTTGCAAGCATCAGGAGTTCAGTGCGGGCATGCCTTGGACGCCGTACGGCTGGCTGGCTGCTGACGATGGCGCTGTCGTGCGTAGGCTTGTCGTTCGGTGCTCGGACGCTTTTGTACCCGCCCTCCAAGCCGTGTTCTTAAAAGCCATCCTTGCGGGCAGTGATGGATCGACTGCTGCAGAACGCGACTTGGCGGAGTTGCGGTTTCTGGGATCCCTTGCTTATAGCGCTAGCTTGTATCGCTAGCTTGTAAATCGTGTTTCGTCGGTGTTGGTTTTTAGCTGTCGTTGCTTTTGTGCCGTCGTCCTAAGTGCTAACGCTACTGCTGGTACCGGGTGCTAGTGCTGGTGCTGGTGGTGCTGTAGAATCCACCTCCTCTGATGGCTGCTGTCCCATGCGCACCCCCCCGCACCAGCTGCTGCGTCCATTGCTCCCGACCTGCTTCCCCGCCATAGCCAGGGCGATACCAACGCTTCCCCTTTGCCGTGCGTACTGCACGCACTCGAACGTCTTCTCCTCCTCCTCTTCCTACTACAACTACGACGACATTGCGTGCCCACGAGACAACTGCACCCTCTTCCTCTTTTGTGACACGCCGGGAGGAGAGTCGAGTTGCCGCAGAGCCTGCAGAGGTTCAACAATGGCGACTGCGCGAACCACGGTGCTCTAAACAATAAACAAATCGCCGGTGTGAAATCACCTCACGCAATCCCCCCCTCTCCTCCCCCCC